AATAAAACAAAGAAGCTGTTAACTTTGAGGAAAATGAGGAAGAATAACATAAATATGTTGATCATAAGGAAGTAGAAATAAACAAAAGCGAGCACGAAAAACATTGCAACCCTACGGGATCGATGAGTGGACAGCAAAGTGAACGGTGAGGGTGGCCCAAAGTTCACCCGTCTGCATCGACCCTTTGTGATCAAATTTCGATCAGTTCACTAAATTAAAACCTAACTGAAGTATTAATGCAATAAATGTCCATCGGAACACACCGTTATACGATTTTTTCCCTTTCAGATCCTTTGGAATTTCTTTTTTCTTTATCAAAATTCAGAGGAGCGGGGGGTGACGAGATCTCGATCTCCAGCCGGATCGATCGCTGCTCACCTCTGAGCCACCCGGCTCACTACCCTAAGTGGACTGCCCGATACACAACAAAAGATTAAATCTGATTTATTATGTTGATTCCTGGATTTTCAATGGAGCGGTTCAATCTTGGAGACGGCGTTCACACTTGAACTGCAGGCGAGAAAGACAGCATTTTGCTCCGAATGACCCTCTTTGGGATGCACCATGCATTCCACATCAGATCAGGATCGCGATGGCACCCACGTGAGCGGTCAGAAGTGGAGCTTAGAACGACCTTCTCCCTCATCAACATCCGCGGCTCAATCCGAACCATCATCTAAGGCTTTCTATTAACATAATTTTGTTGGAAAACCAAGCGCGTCTCCTTTTGGGATGCTCCATCTGCTCTGCTTCCATCTAAAACCAGAATGGCCTTTTCAGTAGGATGAGGCTCACAAAATGTTTTCAGAAGTTCAGTAGACGCTGAACTCCATTGTACATGCTCAGTGCTTATCCAGACGAGCTTATTACCAAAGCACCACCCACGGACAGATAGAGGGCATTTGCCCCTACAGTGTTAACGTTGACGCTCTGACGTAAATGGCAAGCTAGTCTCTGTATTGTTCCAGGGGACGGACCGTAAAATTATCAAAGTTATCAGTTATAAGTGTGATTGCGACTCAGAGTGGCACCGTCCAGACCTGAAGTGAAGTGCGTGGAAACGAAAATCAAGGGAAATCTTCCATCTTGGGGAGAGATAGATATTTATCACCAGTACTCACGTGGACCATCGAATTGCTCAAGTGGGCACCAGCAGCATCTCCATTCGTCCTTAAAACGTGTTGAAGTTGCTCAATGGGTGTTGTGTTGTGTTCTTTGGGAGAAATATCGAATCGACTATGAAAATCACACTTCAAAATCCAATTGAAAGCTTGAAGCCAAATAGTCTGGGTTCGCTGCGAATGATGGGGCGTGTCTGCTCGGCTGAGTTTGGTACTGCGCCAACCCGTTCTTATATCGTTTCGTATCGGTCGTTTTTCACCAGTTGTTGTCATCGGAGGTGCTCTCCTGTTACTTTCTCCTGCTGCAACGAAAAATCCCAAAACCAGCTCACATACAACTGCTATCATCGTAATCAGTCAGGACGGTGTCACGAGGCACGAAATGAACCCACCCGCAGTACTTCCACCCACTGGTTGTTTCCTTCCTGAGTTGGTCATTAACGTAAGGTAGAGGAACAGAGCCAGATCACTGCACCCTCACTGAGACTGCCCCAACTGACTGCTACAATACCAACTATGTACCGCTTTTTCAACAACCTCATGTGGGAGCCATTGGATTTCAGATCAAAGCAGTACTCAGAACACTCTTCCAACAGATCGTACTGTTCGTGTCATCTACTTGAGGCATAACCCATATGGGTCCAAATGTCACTCCACTACCTCAACAGCTGAGTTTACATAAAGCGCTCTTTCAGTAGCCTCATATGAAGATCATCCAGAAAATTTTGCAACCAAATCGTTTTATTGAACAGAATACAAAAACAGGTATGTACAATGAGAACTAACAACAATACCATGTGTTATAACTATATTGTAGTTATTAATGTTATTAGCGTAAAGGGAACCCAAACCCTCGTCAAATACACGTTACTGGACGACTCTCGGTTAATTTGTGTGGTAGTTTCGTTCAAGATCACGGAAGACAGCGGCGCTTGTGTGGTAATGATGTCCACTTCCTCCGAAATACCTGAAACGGTTAGGTCGAAGAAGTGATAAGAAGTACATGACAATTAGAGGGGGAAGGAAGCTGACC